TTCAGCGGCGGCCGGAAGACATCTTTATATCACAATCATTTGAAAACCTTGATTAATAAGGAACTAACCGTCTTGGTTGAACTGATATCGTGCAGGGTGTCTATGATATGATGAGTACCCTGCCTGCTGTGACTGTAATACGTTGTGGCCGGAACAAGCTGGTACCTTACGGTTTATTCTGAAACTTCGCTCTTAAAACAAGAGTCTTAATTACTGCTACTTATTTCAAGTACTTTATCATGACTAGATCGCTGCAATTGTTACAGTTTCGCTCTTCGAAATCTTCACTACACCCACGTCCAGACTACCTACTCGAACTTTCCAAACTTTTTAAAATCATAATTGATCAGTGTTTCACTAATTGTTTTAAAGTGGTCATGGTTCAAGCCAGTTGAAGGTGGCTGTTGACTGTGTCGGGATGTAGTTTAATAAATATTGATTATTTTCTTGTCTTAATTGAGCCCTGTGGGTTTGGCTCATTGAATGCGGTCGGATGAGCTTCATGTATTTTTTCACAGCGGTGTCAACATTTTAGTCAATGGATTTAGCGAATGTTTTGAAGTTATCAGATCAGTAGAAAGCGTGCAACTGAAACGACTAAAATATACGGTTAATTGTACTCGCGGCTTTTGTGAAGTAGAAATACGACGAAAGACTAAACATGTTCCAATATCTTGAGCAGCATTTGACACTTAGTTTTGGGGTCAAACGCCTTTCTTTTGCTTTCCTCTCGTCAACAGAACCAATATAACAAGTGAGCCTAGAATCTCAACCAAAAAAAGTTGCATTGTTGAGTGGTGCGTAATTATAATGCTTGAAATGTTTGATTGCAAAGAACCTAGAGCTAAGTCGAGTAAGGACTGTGTTATTCGCCATAAAACAGTGATAGATTTGACAGTAAATTTATTGATTTTGATAGCTGAAAAGTACTGGTTTTACATCCATATCTAAAATAAACATGAGAACTAGCAACCTGTCAAACAATCTAGCATCTATGTTAAAGATGATACAACTAGATGTACTTAATGTTAAGTCAATTTTGATTATTCAACAGTATTCAATAGGCGTGAAGGAATTAAGAAGGTGTTGTACTGTTGAACGTAAGATATTTTCGACTTGTTGGGGCTCATATTAATTGAATAGGTGCAACCTGTGCCTCAAATCAAAACGGACTATTTTAAAATGATGTGTACAAAAGATTTTAACAAGATTTAAAAAATWAATTTTTTCGATATCTATCAAATACACTGCTAAAACGACTTTTCTTTTTAGTCTTCATTCTTAAACCTTTAATTAATGGATACCATCATCAAATACAGCATAATTCAAGACCTTTTGTACGTTTTAAATTTCTCTAAAGAAGTGGCTTCACAAGTGTTTGAAGTAGATGCAATTTATCTCAATTAATCAACAGAGTTTTTTTGAATGATTTAGGCGACTCTTAAAGACCCTTTCGAACAAATATAGAACAATACAATGGGTTGTCGGTTTACATTACAATTTCTAAGGATTTTTTTTTGTTTTTGTTGCTTTTTCCCCCTGCTTTCCTTAGTAGAATTTTTTCTCAACAGAGTTTTTTTGAATGATTTAAGCGACCCTCAAATACCCTTTGAGCAAATATAGAACAATACAATGGGTTCAGTGTCGATTTACATTTCATAAATATATTTTTTAAGTGTTTTTTTAGCGTTTTTTTTTTTTCAGTAGAATTTCTTTGTAGATTTTCTATGTCGTCTATGTCATCAGTACAGGAGCCTAAAAGTTTATTACAGAAATTTCTTTAATCGTTGAGTATTTAATGCTGATTATTCTGTAAGACTTTCCTGTCATAAACGCCACTAAGGCTCCATTCAGACCATGTCGTCTCTTTCAATCATTTCCGATGGGTTGAAAAACGCGCTCGTACAAATCACAAATCATTTTAGATTTCATCTCTCAGTAAGAACTGAAAGCATGTCAAGAACGTTTCAACGGCTAAAAACACGCAAAAACGTGCATCAGTTTTTTTAGAGGATTTGATCGATGTGTATGTACATATATTTTTGGCTTCTAAGTTTCATTTTGATAATGTTGTACTTCCTTGAGCTTGATTTATTTTGAAAAACATTCATATCTACTTCCTTTTTGAACATTATGTGGTGGTCTAATAGAGTCATTTTGATTGCTTAAAGCAATGTCACTACCGTAAACTTCCATTTTTGATTTGTGCTTCTAGTAATTGTTTTGCTAGGGTCTGAAGGGTATGGTGACGAAGAAAGCCAAAACACTCTCACTATCTGTTTTGATTACTTTCTTTGTCTTCTTACCCTGGGCGATTCAGAGAGCTTTAATGATGAACTTTTGAATGACTAGCCTGCTTTAACAACATGGGTTGATCATATATATTGATTTTCCTGTAAACATGGTCAACAATTCCATAAATATCTCCATAAATATCTCCATAAATATCTCCTATTTTACGCCTTTTCGCAACATGCAATCCTCCTTTATTCAATCCTTTATCATTTTGGTTCCACGGCCACTTAGAGTAATTAAGAGTGAATTCCAAGAAAAGTCGGTGCAATTCAATTCAATAAAGTAATCTTTTGAAAGCCATTAACTTCTATTTGGATAATAAAGTAAGAATATATTATCTTCTTTGGTGTTGCTGTTCTCATATAATTGAATTACAGAAACTTCAAGTTGTAATGAAGCCTTTTAAAATCGATAATATCTAAGATGTCTGGTTTGTGTTTTCGCTTTGCCCCTCTGGTCGAGCGTTCAAGTTTTAAATAGATTCATTTTGTGCAGTGTAAAATGCAAGAAGAAAAAGAACGCACACTTGCATTAACGAATAAACTGGCTATAATACTGACTGTAATTTAAAAGTACATTTAAAAGATCATTTTTTCGTTATTTAATTCATGATATACAAAAACAATTATCATAATGTACTGGTTCACGAARATTAAGGAATGGCTGTTAAGATAAAAAAATTAAAAAGAACAACTGGTTTCTATTTAAAAAATTCTGTATTTTAGTTTTCGTGAGCGCGTATAATTGACTTGTTATCTCTGATGTTCTAATCACTTCTGTGTTATCTCACAAGCTGCCGAGAGAACGATCTTTTCACTCGTTATCTCGCGTCTAAAAACCTCCTTTCTTTCTTTCTTGGCCCTCAATTCAGATCTTAAGCATCTGGAAGAACCTTTCCCTGCCCTGTTGAAGAAGAAATTCGAATTGAATAATTCTTAAAACGATTTCGATGATGGAAAAGACCAAATGGCGATAGGATGTCATCTATATTTGATGATCTAATAAAGTATTTTTCGGTTAAATCTCATCAACCAGGCGAATGACTTAAGTCATGATTAAATTGGCCTCATTCAGGTTGCAGTTTGAACATGACTTTGTTGGGTAGATTCTAGTTATCTTCAGGTATTCAAAGATGGTTTTGTTATCGCTCTATTAGAAGATGGAGAGTACACGTTCATGATAAAAGAGAACTCCGTGATGAACCTGTCGATAGCCTCATTCTTTTGGTTCAAAGCCCATAGCACACGAGAGCCGATATACTTCTAGTATTACTCCCAAAAATTTAACCCTCTGGCCAAAGCGACTAATTGTGTCAAATTGTAAGCTCAATATTAGTCCAGTACATATTGTAAAATTTAGAATTTAATCAGCTTTAATGAAGCTTCTTAAAGCACAATAATGTTCCTTAATGACTTGATCAAATTTAACAAACTTTTATTCCGATTCCTTATTTCGTACTCAGACAAACGGCGTCTCTTGCTAATAACTCTACTTATGTCCGTATCATGAGGAGCTTAAAGATATCCTATGCTATCCAAATTAGTAATCTCTTACATTCAAATTGTATGGTCGTAATTAGGTTTATCACTCAGGCCATTACCAGAAAGAATTTCTTTGCGTGCCATTTCGGAGCACAGACTCTTGAGTTCGAGTTTAATCAAGATAAAACATTCGTAGTTACCAAGGGTCATCTCTTGATCAGTCGCGCCAAAAAAACCCAAAAGAAATCAGCAAAACAAATAGCTAATGTTATTATTGCCATAAGCTGTCATCCAAACAGGCTGACTTCATATCATTAATATAGATCCAAGGAAGCAAACACTATCTTAATTATACTAATCGACTAACACTTTGGCATAAACACAGGATTTATAAGTGTTTTAGTGAAATGTTGCCTTGTATTAAACGTGYTGTAGTCTTGATTGCCATGTCCTTGTTGCTTGCTCGCTCGACTAAATCACTCACTTCAATTACCCTCCAATTACCGGTTAAGTACACAGATGGAATTGACTTTCAAAACGACTTCTTAATAGGGATTCAACTTAAATTGTATATTAAAATGGAGCTAATTGATTTCCATAAAATATGTTTTGCCCAAAAGCATCGGATACTATCAGTGAGAGCCCCCTGCTGATCACACCTATTTGTTTTAAGCATTAGTAAAAACAATATACAAAGTGCTCTCCATTGTGAAATTGAGAGTATGAACAAACAATCGCTTCAGGGGTATATTTCAGTCTGTTGTGTTGGGAGTCAATCTGATCTTTTTCAAAGCTCATTATTTATATCTGTACGTGTTTTTTTAAGGTTGTTCTTGCACGTCATTTCTTTTATATGGAAATGAAATTTCCGCAGCAGCAAAACAGCTTTACTTTCTTTCGTTTAGAAGTCTTATTAACCCTAATTATTATCCAAGTGGGTTCAGTGCCATGAGCTATGTGATCGGAAAGGACTATGTTACGAGCATGGGGTGTATTTGAGTAAAGGGGAAATGAGAGCTGATTCCGACTCTTTGACTAAGATCCTTACCTTGAACCCCTGAGGCACTTGTGTATTAGTAGGATTGCTAAAGCCACCACGCCGACAGAAACAAAAGAACTACCAACCCGTAAATTGGTTTTAATCTGAACCAATGGCTGCAATTTAGTAGTTATCGGATCTTTTAAAGATGACATCTTACCGCCGCTGTGGTTGGCTGACATTTATCAACAACAAATTTGCTTGATAATGAGACAATTATCTTGTGCCCTATTAGGCTGGGTCTAATATACGCGGACATCGGCTGGTGAAATGACTATTCGCAGCAGGTCTTCGCCAATTCAGTGGAATAAAGCCAGAGAGACATAGTAGTGTTCTAGTATTGTACAACAAGGTTACACTTCACTTTGAATAACACGGCGACTAGGGAGCAAGCGGAGTAGAGCTGACAGATATCTCAGTGCAAAGCTTCGCGTTATGGAAACTGAACAGAACAAGCCTTCATCCATGGGCCCCACTTCATCTCGAAGTAGTTCATTTACCGTCGAGGCACTGATATCGAAACCAGTACACAAAACAAGCAATATCATTAACGACACCAATTTAGGAAGTCAAAGTAACTTTTCAGTTGAGAGAATTTTGAATAAACAACATTCAAGAGACGAGGAAAACGACAGCAAAGTTGACGTGTCTTCTCCAGACAAGAGATGTGCAGGGGAAGAAGAAGACAGCTCATCAGATTATCCATGGATGCATTCAACTCGCTACGACCCTCCACCAAGTAAGTTTACCCTTTCTATTAAACCTCTCTCTTTTAAATTCGTCAGAAAACATTTTAAGGATAATTGCTTTAATTGTCTTTAGCTTCATAATCCTGTATAAACTGTCGAGACTTGAACAGCATGAGCCATTCCTTTAGAGAAAGACGAGACAATACGGTTCAAATACCTGATTTTTTCGTGTGTAAAGCGGAAAGCACTTAACCTTGATATGTTGTTTATTTGTATAGGAATACGTTCAAGGCTTAGCCCGTCCAAATGTCAGCTTCGCAAGCATAAAGCAAATCGCAAACCTCGTACGCCTTTCACAACTTCACAACTTCTTGCTCTGGAAAGAAAGTTCCGCCAGAAACAGTACCTGTCTATCGCGGAAAGGGCCGAGTTTTCTGCATCATTAAATTTGACCGAAACACAAGTGAAAATTTGGTTTCAAAACCGAAGAGCAAAAGCAAAAAGACTTCACGAAGCTGAACTCGAGAAACTAAAGCTTGCAACTAAGCCTTACATATCTCCTGGCTTTACCTCTACAATGGGTAATGTCTCCATGTGTTGTGATTCATCATGCAATGGTACTTTCGCGTTCCAGCCTTATTCGCATCTAACTCTACCATCAAACAACTACAGTCAATCGGCGATGGGATTTTTTTACCGAACACCTTACGGGATTCCCCCTGGATATAACAACTATATGCCCCACTAATACAATCTATGTTCGTCAAACTATATATCCCATCGACTTGAAGGTGAGATGGAGGACAATGAAAAACGCTCTTTTATTTAAATTAAAATGTATCCATCCAGTTTTTCCCTCTGATGGATTGAACAAAATGTCTATCATGTCCTTTAGAAGGGCAGTATATTGTAATATAGCAGAATATTCTAATTGTACATAACTTCGATACATGGCTTCCTTGCACGAGACTCGAATTTACTTATGTTCTTAATTTTTTGTGCTATTTTCTTTCTCAACTGTCACATTCTATACGATTAAAACACAGAAAATAAAAATTTAAAGAAAGACTTTGATGGCTTTATTGACTAGTTTGACTTTGACAACCTCTTCGTACCTTCCTGAGAACATTTGCACTGAGTCATTAATGTCGTCAAAACGAACACTTTATTTCAACATCAGTAAATGCAAGCGTAGAAACAAATTTTATCAACCACAACATCAATCAGTAAATTAATTACGCTTTTGCATAGCACCAATTGGCGCCTTAAAGTGTTTTATAATTGAGTTTACGCTACATGGACGATTAACTAGGAGGATTGTATATATGTAACTCTATAGCATTTTTATTTATAGAAGAATTGAGGACAAAGCTTCAGTTTGTGTAGACGGAAATGAAAACACTAGAGTTCTTAAGGAAATCCTTTGATAAATCTTGTTTTTTTTAATTCGGAAACCATGGAATTAAATAACGTTATTATGGTGGTAAAAACTGAGATGCATTTAGTATCGGTGAGGTTTGGTTTAGGACAGGAAATTTTTAGAATATAAGTTTATGGAAAAGTAGTCACTCAAAAGTGAAATTTTTATAGAATCTTATTTGCGAAGGAATCACCAAAGAGACTATTGATAGTGTCAGTAAATGATAAAATACATTGTTCTTTTACAATGCTTGCTCAATGCATTTGTACTTTATTTTTCAATTTAAAGGTATAAAAAAACATGGTGTTTTAAGTCAGTGGGTGTTTTGGCATTCCTTTGTTAGATCCCCGCCTCCAACGATATTCAAAGTGTTAGGGATCACCTGTTTGTTTTATGACTTCATTTCTACCAGTAACGAAGGTTAATTGATACACTTAACTCTTTACGGGCCGGCATGGTATGTCGGTGGAAATCTTTGTATTAATTCCTCAATTGCCAACAGCTTGTCTAAGTGACTTCAATGAACAACAGGTAGCTAGTGCATGAAAACGTTGTCATTTCTTCACGAGAACCGAACTCCCCGAAATCATCTGTCCCCTACAACAAACTGGAACTAACTTGCCCTTTATTTCTCTTGTTTCTTTGAAGTTGTCCTTTGACAAAGTTGTTRGTATTGATACACGAGTTGCTCAATCAAGTGCTATTGTGTTTGGAAAGCTTAGTGCACTGAGCATTACGGAGATTACGACAACTAGAACGAATGCTGTAGTTCCCACTCCCTTTTACATATTGGAATTTCTTTTCATCCTTCCTTCCTTAACTCTCTAATCTCAGCCCACTTAATGTCAGTCTGATTTCGGTCATCTTTTTCAGTGAGACATTCCACTTCACAAATCTATAAGAACCAAGCCTGCGTTTGTTGATAAAAGTTTATAAAGATTAAACGATGCGTCGTATAATGAAAACGGAAAAAACATCGCTCGACGACCTTTTGTAACAGCTGGTAGAAACCGAAATACCTGTTTTTATTAAGTAAAACCTTTAATATATTACATGTGCGTCTCATTTTCTAGGGAGAAAAGAACTATTATGTAAGGCTACGTTGAAGTTCCCGTTATTATTTGTATTTGTATCATCAGGAGCCCGCTCGTGGCAAATTCTCCGCTCATAATAATTCATAATTTATTAATATTTTATGGAATCTCTTCAGTGTTTTTTTTTTCAATGGGTTAACTCCCATCTACAAGTATGTTCCCAATTCAAAATCAAGGTTAGAACAAGATGAGATGAGGGGAAATTTAATTAGTGACAGTAACAATCTTTGGGTGTTGCTTGGTCTTGTCTTAACGTACAATCGTTCTTTAAATAGTGCATTTATCGTTGGCAAATTAAGCACCGATTATCGCACAGCAGGTGCTCATGGAATGCGTGTTTATACTGCGATCATTAATACACAATTTGCTAAAAGAATATAAAAAAACCAATTTCAAGGCGACATCTAGCGATGGATGACAGCCAATGTTTCTTAAGCCACCACTAAGCTATAGCTCTACACCAATGTCTTATTTCCATCTTACTAAAGAATAAAAGTAATAGAAGTAGTTTTTGTACTGTTAGTGCTAGGTGTGGAGAATAAAAAATCGATACAAAAAAGGGCGGCATAAAGCAAGTCTTTTACCACAAGTAAAGAAGCTAGGTTTTGATTATTGCTTTCAATTCCATTTAAATGCTCTAATAACTTTGATGATACAAATGTCTTCCTTTGTCTCAACACATCAGGTTGTTTCCTATCGTGTATCATTGTGGCATATATCAAGAACTGTTGTCCCTCATTGATATTGGGGATTCAGTCCCAGAACAGTAGGTGGTTGAGATTCGTTGTGGTTATCACAAGTTAAGCACCATATTCTATTACTATCCCTGACTTATCTTTTTTTATCAAATTAAAAAACCTCGTCTGGCTCTCAATGACGTTACTAATAGATTATAGCTCTCTCGAGCGTCTTATAGGTAAAGTAGAACAGAATTTGCACTTTTTATCAATAAAAGCAATAAAATCCACCAGAGTAGGTCAGTATCGTGCTGCCTCTCAAGGATAATCCTCCAGAAATAATTTCCTATACTTGACCTAGGGAAACCCCATTAAACTAAAGTGGGTGTATCAGAATATTCTGATGACAAGCTCGTTAAAGCTTGTTCCTGTAGCGGTTCTAGATTCCTCTAGAGGGCACTATTAATATAAAGATAAAACTGCCTGTCGATTCAAGGCTTATTTAGGAGGAATTGCGGATATGAAGAGCTTCACAGTTGACCACTTTTTATCTTTCTTATCTTCCTAAAGAAACTAAGATAAGATTAGAAAACTTTTTTTTTCTTTCAAAGTGATGAAATAACAGCGTCAAGACCAGCAAAGAAAAGAATTAAGCGTTCGCAAATGAAAGATCCGTTTGTACAACTTGTTAACCCTCTAAGCATGGCTTTCTCCGAAGTCAGTTAACATCGTATACTTCATACACTCATTTTTTCTCCTCTGTTACCTCTAATTAAGTTAGTACTTATTCAAATCTTTACACCTTTATTTTAATAACTTAAGTTCTTTAATAGTGTAATTCTTTTTCAAGTTTAATTGCAGATAATTGGATTTTCTAAAAGACGCCAATAACAAAATCAGTGGTAATTATAACTGGTGCTTTGACAATAAATGACAAATTTCAAAAAAAACACGAAATGAAAAGATCTCATTTTTATTTCTTTATCTTACGACAGATTAAAGGACGTCATTGAATGAGATTTAAATTATATAGAAGATATGGAATCCTTTAGGTATTTAGCGAGAAAAATTCTTCATATCATTTTGTTAATAGTTGTAGTCAAATTATTTATTCATGAGTAAAAAAATGAAGGAAAATCAAGGTTTATTTGCCGTGAACATTTAGTATTTATCACGAGAATTTCTTACAACATTTAATTCTTTTATTCCAGCAAATATTTCAAACTGAGAAATATAAGATTATTTGAACCGTTCTTTGAACTGCCGTACAAAATGCTTGAAATTTCTAAAAGAAAGAATGATATCGAAGGGCTTCTACCTTGTAGCTTCATTTTCTATTGTCTTCTTCCCAGTTCAATTCTAGTTATCCACTCCTGTTTTCCCCCAACAATATATATCCGTGCTTAGCAGCTTCTAGATCGTGAGTCTTTAGAGTCTCCGCTTAAGCTTCAATCGCCCGCCTGTTGCCATGAATAAATACTTCGACAAATTGCTGTCAAGATTTGGCAAATTGGTCCTTAAATATGTCAGCTCGGCAATTACAAACACATTTCAAAAGTTCCATAGAATTCCTCCCATATTTTTGACCATCATTTTTTCATCTGCTTCTAACATTGTTAATTCGGAGTGAATCAGTTTATTGTCACAAAGGCATTCATTTGGTGCCTACTATACAGGGGCACTTTTGTCACTCCCTTCTCATTACCATCGGATTCTCTTTCAACTAGTGTTCGTTACGGGTACCTCGTACCATTTTTCATAACCCTAAGTAACTGAACCCTATTAGTCTATATCAAGAAAAAGAGCTTCATCACTAGGATGGCCTTAATTGCCAGAATCGGTACGTTACAGTAAAGTTCAGAGCCGTTTAACAAGATGTATCTTGAATCACATAATCACTTCTTAAATGTAAAACGTTCAAGTATCATCGGATAGATTAGTTACAGAGTGTTGCATTGATGACAGATGCACAGCTAGCAAGTTATCTCGTATATGGTTGTATTGCATTATATACTGACATTTGGCTGCGTACATGTTATTAGAGTCACAAGTTGATGTTCTTGCTTTGTCGATTATTTCCATTGTACATTTTGCTGTGTATATATGGGTCTACACACACGCATATGATAAAGATCTATATCAGATACATAGACGCTCATTTGATTGACAAATGCTGTAAGGATACATTTAATCGAATAAAAAAATCATTCAAATGTATCCTTTTAAATGTAACCATTGCCAAAACCTGTCAAGTAAAACTATCTCAGTTTCCAAAGCGTCGTTTATTATTTTCGAATTGTTATACATTTGATTCTTTTAAGACAGTTTGAGTAATTAAATCTACCGTGACATATTAGCCGAAAAATGACAAATCTTCTTCTAAATATTTTTTCAGTCTTAATTATTTGCATATTGGCACATTTGTTTCCTAGATGCTTTATTCTTATTACTGTTAGAAAATGAATAGGAATAAATACAAAAGAACGTAACATTAAGATGGTTCTTTTAAAGTATTTGTGTTTGGTTTTAGTAAAGTTCATCAGTTTTACGAGGCAATATTTAACTTTATTTGGTTAGGAGGATCTTCCAGGCAAAACTGAACTACGAACAATAAAAAGAAGATCCACGAGAACAACAATTGTAAGTGTTTTTTTTGTGATATACAAAAAGCCAATCACATGAACGTCTCCAACATTCCATCACTACTATCTCGTCCTTAACAACAACGTCCTTTTCATACACGTCCTTTTCTTCTGTTTATCAGATAGTTTTTAAGTCTTTCGTCTGCTGTAGTTTTTAGATATAAAAACAAGCCATAGTCCATGGAACCCTGAAACTTTCTGACCGTGGTAGAGATATTTAAACTCAAAGAACTAA